ATTAGCTGTATTTTATGTTTTCCAACAAACGGCCAAAACCGTATGTTTTTACTGTTTTTTTACTTTTCACTTTAGCATTTTGAGAGCACATGTTTCATAACTCGAGACACTTCATAATTTTCATATTTCTAACGAAGGTCCCTTGAAGGGCTACAGAGGGATGACTAACAAAACCATTAATGCTTAAATTGTGTGGAAACATCCCATAGCATAAATCCAGTTGTAGGTATATTCACCATCCAAAGCATGTGACAGCATCCTATAATTTAATTCTCTTAATTTGTTTTTTACTTGCACATGAGTTTTATTAATAGTGTTTCCTGTGCGTGTGTGTGTGTCTGTGTTTCACCGCCTGATTTATGGACATTCTGAATTATGGATTCATCCTTTTGAATGGACGAATCCGGGTGCCAGCTGCACACTTTTGGCATACATTTACAGTAGATCTCATTCTAACCTCTCGGCAGACTGAGAGAGAGAGAGAGAGAGAGGGGGGGGGGGGTGGGGGGGGGGGTGTTCATGTAACACTGTTCCATGCAGAAAGCATGTTACTATAATTAGACATGGGTGTGTTTGGTGCAATTTTGCACCCCCCCCCCCACCCCACCCCACCCCTTTCATCTTTTAGTTCTCTCCCCTACCTAATTTTACATAATAGTAAGACATGGTAGGCATAAAATCTCTCCTCAAGTCGTGACATGGCCTCTATATGTGTGCTTAATGAGTATGTATGTGCTGAAAATGGGGGTCTTTTGTTCGTTTTAGAAATTTCTGAGCACTGCGAACCATTTATCTATGATTTTGTGTGTGAGAAAATGGACGCACTTTCGTTCCATTGCTTCAGCCTGTGGTATCTCTGTTATCTCAGAAAGCACATTGGGTCGAAAACTCATCGTTCTTGTGGGGATAAAATTTCGACTAGTGTGTGAAATGGGAAAAAGGAACTAGAGTCCGCCACCCCGAGCCATTCAACCAGGACAGTGCTCAGAGGAAGGGAACTCGATGCTCTGGTTTGCGATTAGCTGCTTTTTTGGAGATATTTTGAGGTTCGTTGGTCTCAGATAATGTTTCCTAATGAGTTCACACAAGCTTAGCTGAACCTTGTGGAGGTCTCACCAAATCCTGCATAATACATTGTAAATGACTACATAAGGCCCAGTAAGTGTCATCATACCGAAGACATTCTTACTATTTTCAAAGCTGTCGTATTTGACTGGACTGTGAAAAGTTCTTGCGATATTAGAGTTTTTCTCAATTCTCGAATGCTCAATAAGTTCAGATCGCTGAACAATTAGCTTCTTGTTCACATCAGATTTGAATTTCTTATTTATTTAAGCTTGCGTTTTGGCACATGTGTACAAAATAAAAGGTATACCGTCGTCTACAATTTGCATACTAACTAAATGCATATGGTTTGTTGATCAAAACGGATGGGTTGATTCTCAGTGAAATTGTCAAGCTTTGCACAACTTCTAAACATTCTTTAATAGTGTGAGCTATCACATGCTAAATGATCCAGTTATCAAAATCGGTCAGACATGCATGTATATTCCATAAATATCTGACATGCAATGTTTGTAATATCAGCTAAACTGGCAAATGACCTGCTATTGTAATGAATCACAATCTTATCAATCAACCAATCAAATTTGGAAGCATATGGAGTTTGCCCATCAGCACAATCACTATTTTTGAACATGGAGGAACGTCACAACCTTAAACATCAGCCGCTAAAGCAGTAGTATTATAGCAATGTGATACATAAAACTGATAATTCATAGTTGCTTGTCGAGGAAGAGCTATAGGAAGATAAAGTATGTAAGCACTTTATGTAAGAGTGAGAGAGTGTAAAAATAAACAAGCGATTAAGAAAAACTGTATGGGTTAATTTGAGTTTGTCCATCTTGGATAAATCAGCAAGAAAGGTGTCAGAACAAATATTTAAGTTTGATGAAAAACTATGAAATTTTGAATAATGTGCACTGATGAATCACTTAGTTTTAAAATCAGTTTATTTAGTCTTCTTTGTTTTAATTAAAAATACTAATTTTAAAACTAAGTGATTCGTCATGAGCGCTTTAGAATAATCACCATTTTTCCCCATCTTTTGAATAATTAACTGATAAAATATACATTTCAAAATTATGAACTACAAAAAAATGATATAAAATGTATAATTATTTAGATAATCTTATAATATCAATAAATATTGAAACATTACCTAAATACCTATTATTTTACATATATCATTTTCATATCATACACTGTAAAAATGTTTTTGTTGATTTAACTTAAAAAAGTAAGTAAACTGGTTGCCTTAAAATTTTTAGTTTAACTGGAAAAAGAGAGTTCATACAATGAAGGAAATTAATTTAATCATCAGAAACTCAAAATAATAAGTTATCACAACTAAATAAATTCTTTAAGTTGATTTGACAAAAGAAAAAATGTTGTGATAACAAATCTTGAAATATTTTTTTACAGTGTACACACTATATATATACATATCAGGGCTGTCAAATGATTAATCATGATTAATCATCCAAAATAAAAGTTTTTGTTTACATAATATATGTGGGTGCACTGTGTATAATTATTTTATATATATAAATACACACAGAGACTTGTATATATATAAGAAATATTTTTATGTATATACTGTAGATTTATATATTATTTATATTATATATATAAATATAAATATTTTATATATAAATAATATTTTTTCTTAAATATACATGCATGTGCGTGTATTTATATATATACAAAATAATTATACACAGTGCACCCACATGTATTATGTAAACACAAACTTTTATTTTGGATGTGATTAATCACGATTAATCATTTGACAGCCCTAATATATACATATATATATTACAAACCTCTCATTTCCCAGGAAGACATTAGAAGCCATTAAATATTACAAAAAAAAAGATAACATATATAATTACATCTTTCTGTGAAAAGAGTTTTGTGGAAACACTTCCTGTTGGACATGATAAACAAATTATGACATCAGTTTCTCAAGCTGGCTCTATTTTGACTGCTGTGTGTGTGTGTGTGTGTGTGTGTGTGTGTGTGTGTGTGTGTGTGTGTGTGTGTGTGTGTGTGTGTGTGTGTGTGTGTGTGTGTGTGTCGTCGGAGGGGGTGGTGGTGGTCTTACACTACACCCGTGTTGTATGCGTTATGCAGGATTAGAGTGGACAAAAGTATGCAAATATTGTTGCTCAGTTCTTCCAGGCTTTGTGAGACAGTCTGACAGAGAGTAAAAGGGGACGAGATGCATGTGAGGTTTTGTTGCCATCTGTGACGCTAACCTTGGGAAACTGTACCCTGATTAGCATAAGAATAATTGATACATAAATCACAAAGGCTATTAATTTTAAAACAACACGAGAATAAAAGAAACACACTGTAAAAAAAAATATTTTCATCATTTGTAATCACAACATTTTTTCTTTTGTCAAATCAACTTAAATAATTTATGTAGTTCAGATAACATAATATTTTGAGTTTCTGATGATTAATTCAATCTCCTTCATGGTATTAACTCAATTTTTTCATTTCAATGAACTTAAAATTTGAAGGCAACCAGATTACTTAATTTCTTTTTAAGTTAAACCAAATATATTACCAACTAAAAATAAACTAAATGTTTTTTTACGTAAAAAAAGAGAAAACACTAAGGCCTGGTTTCACAGACAGGGCTTAGATTAAAGCCAGGACTAGGCATTAGTTCAGTTAGATAGAATTGAATATTGTAGAAGATTTATCTCTAAAAAGATAACATAAATGCCACTTTTTCTTGGTACAATTATGCATCAGACAAGTATGTGATGTGAGAATAATCAAGAGACCATTAGCACTTTATATTCATAATGTTTGAGATATTTGTGACTTTACTGCATCAAGTAGACACACACACACCTCGCTCAGTGAAAGGATGGCGGTGGTTAGGTGTGAAATCACAATGTGCTAACAAGACTGACTCCTTCTGTGAGCAGCACACACACTCTCAGATTCATAACCCTTAAAATAGCATTTGTACCTGTAAAAGCTTCTCATGTTGGCTTCAGTTAAGCAATTCTGTATATTTCTCTGTCGCAATCCAGAGGCCTTTCATTCACCTGACACAACACAGCGTCTGTTGAAATGAAAAAGCATGCAAAATTAAGTATTTTGATATATTTATATCTCGTCATGATCAATGAAGGTCTAATTTCACTCAGAGATGAATGTTTCCGCATCTCATTCCCACGTCTAATGTAATGGCTGAACATGGCAAGTTCACCATAGCCAAAGGCCAAATGGACACAATTTTTCAGCATAGAAATAATTGTAAAATAAGGCAAATGTCAAGGGATAGTACTAGAAAATGAGTTTCTGCTGATCTGTCAAGCTCATATTTGTCTTCTGTGGAAGTGGATAGCAGTACATCAGGAATTCAGTTTCCTCTTTCAAACTTCCTCCTGATTTAATCACAGTGTGTTCATCAATTATATATGGAGCTGGATATGAACAGTTTTTAACTACAGCCACCACATGATGTTTCACAGAACAAGACAGAGAGTGGGATCCAATTGCAAAAGTGTATTAAGAAAAAAAACAAAAGATAAATCCAGGTAAAGGGAGATGTAGACAAAAAGTACAGGAAAAGCAGAACTGACAACAACAAATATAGGAAAATCCAAAACAGGCAATATCAGACACTGAAGCACTATAGGGAGAAAATACAGCGGATGAGGAGAGGCTAACGAGGAACAGGTGAGGTTAATCAATCAATAAAGCAACAAACAGATAGAAACAAAGTAAAACAGGAACTAAACACAGGACGTGAACAATGGGAAAAATAGGAATAGAAAATACACTTCAAAAAACAAGAAAATCAAATCAGGGAGCTTGTAGAAAAAAATGTCATTGCAAATAATCAGGTAGTATGCATATTTGACTCTGAAACTGTTGCATTTATAGCACATTCTTTTTTTTTGTCTTTCTAGGGTTGGCAGATAAATGAAGGATGATAAAGGAATCATGGGAAGGATCTAATCGGATACTTTCGTATCACTTTAGTGATGGTCAGTCAAAACTCACAGATCATCTTATGAAGATGCTTCAATCACAAGGGGTAAAATATATCATATAAATAAAAAGTCTACATATAATGTGTATTTGATATTTATACTGTATGTCTGTAAAAATATTTGCAAATGTATTTAATAAAAACTGATATTTGATCAAAATATGTTCATGTTTCCTTTTTTATGCCATTATTCATGTGTGTGCGTGATGGCCCAAATATCACAGATCATAAGAGCATGTCAGTTTTCATGAATGAATGATATAATGTAGCCTTTGTACTCATAATATGTTACAAAGTGGAATGAAACTGAATGAATCAAAAGCTTTTAGTTTGCGTTATAAAAAATGTGTACTTTTCATTGCTCATCATAGGCAGGTGATTTAGGGGGAGATATTGATTAATATCAATATAAGATTAATATTAATAATAACATAAGAGACAAATTCTACATGCATATATCAGCTAAATGTATTTGGGGCTCTTTAAAGGGATAGTTCACTTTGAAATACATTTTTGATATGTTTTTGCTTACCTCAAGGGCATCCAAGATGTAGGTGTCTTTGTTTCCACAGTAGTTTCAATTTTGATATTTTTAGGTCAAACCGTTCTTGTCTGTTCTTGTCTGTCACTCACATAATGGAGGTTTATGGTCACCACCTCAAAGAGCATGAACAGTTCAAATTAAACCTGATTTAATGACTCGTAAATGTAAGTACACATTGATGTCTTAAGACACGAAACGAACTGTAGTTATATCGTTTTTACCTCTTGAAACCACAGCCATGTCCAAGTACTCTGAGGACGAGGGCGCTTCGGTCTGCGCAAGCGCAACGGAAAGCCCCGGAAGTGATCTCTCGCGCATGTACGTCACTCATTGTTTACACAGAGATTTTAGAAGTGTTACCCTTCACTGTGAAGATCTAAACATATTTAGGAAGGCGATTTCAATATATCAACAGACAACGTTGATTTTTTTTTTCGCAACCGCGCAAGAGATCACTTCCGGCGCTTTCCGGAAAACAAAGCGCCCGTGCCTTCAGATCACGTGGCTGTGGTTACAAGAGGTAAAAACGATATAAATACTGTTCGTTTTCTCACACAAACCGCTCGTTTCGTGTCTTACGCCATCAATGTGTACTTACATTTACGAGTCATTAAATCATGTTTAATTTGGACCTCTCTGTGCATTCTCTTTGAGGTGGTGACCATAGACCTGCATTATATGATAGACAAGAACGGTTTGACCTAAAAATATCAAAATTGAAAATAAAGCGGAAACAAAGACACCTACATCTTGGATGCCCTTGAGGTAAGCTAAAACATCAAAAATTAATTTCAAAGTGAACTGTCCCTTTTAGCTTTAAAAAATATTTTGTTCAGCAAAAAAAAAAAGAAAGTAAACAAAAGAATCTACATTCTGTTTCTGACTAAAATATGTTGGAAAACCAGTGAAAGCTATTAAAAATACTGGCGTTAAAAACTAAAAGACAAAAATAGGCCCTATATAATTAACATAAGATATGAATTATTAAGCAATGCATCATTGAGTTGAGGGGTGCTCACGCACGCTCTAGTATCTGGTCAGTGAGTGGACACTGGTCCTCATGTTAACAGCCTCCTCTCATCCTCTCAGGAGACTCTTGTTAGACGAGGTGCCACTGAAATTAATTAGCGTGATTCACAATCTACTCCACAGCCTGAGGTGAGGAGGACCGGCATGTCTCTTTGTAAAGACTGTGCCTGTCCATTGGAGCTTTTATTTATTCTCATTAAACACTAAACAAGCCCAATAGTTGTTTTTAAATAACCAGCAGATGTTAACCATGCACTTCCAGTAATTAGTTTATAACTCTTAAAACTGGTGAAGCCAGCAGTGGGCAGCACATGAGCTGTCTCAGGACAATTCTGCGCATGTCTTGTCTTTCTGCACTATTGCAATATTTATGTTTTTGAACATGTTTATCTGGTTAAAGTGCCCCTATTGTGCTTTTTCAAACATTACCTTTCATGCAGTGTGTAATATAGCTGTGTGTGAATGTAAAATGTCTGCAAAGTTTCAAAGATGAAAGTGTGTGATAAAAGTCTTATTTTCTCTCAAAAGAACCAGATTATGAACAGCCTGAAACGAGTACTCAGCGATTCCACTCTTACTTGCTGCACAAACCTACAAAAGGTTTGTAACAAATTTACATAATGCCGGCCTGGGATCTTCATTAGCTGCCCGCACACAATGTCTAATTTGACCCTCAAACACTGTAGTAGCTCAGACTGTAACTTGTCGACACTGTTTTCAGTGCTGGGAAAGTAGATCCACTACATGTAATTCCAGAGGTTGAGGACTCAGTAAAACTGACGCCATTGTTACTGTTTGTATCACTGTGTATCAAGCGGTCAGGAAGGTCCGGAGCTGAAATTCAAATATGGTAATGACCATTTCTTTCTGATGTGCTTTACAGTAAGTGGTAGACCCATCACAACAGACTGAGTCATCTGACAAATCAGAGCAGAATAGACCAATCACAACAGACTGGGTCATCTGACCAATCAGAGCAGAATAGACCAATCACAACAGACTGGGTCATCTGACCAATCAGAGCAGAGTATCAATCACAACAGACTGAGTCATCTGACAAATCAGAGCAGAATAGACCAATCACAACAGACTGGGTCATCTGACCAATCAGAGCAGAATAGACCAATCACAACAGACTGGGTCATCTGACCAATCAGAGCAGGGTAGACCAATCTCAACAGACTGGGCCATCTGACCAATCAGAGCAGAGTATCAATCACAACCGACTGAGCCATCTGACCAATCAGAGCAGGGTAGACCAATCACAACAGACTGAGCCATCTGACAAATCAGAGCAGAATAGACCAATCACAACAGACTGGGTCATCTGACCAATCAGAGCAGAATAGACCAATCACAACAGACTGAGCCATCTGACCAATCAGAGCAGGGTAGACCAATCACAACAGACTGGGCCATCTGACCAATCAGAGCAGAGTAGACCAATCACAACAGACTGGGTCATCTGACTAATCAGAGCAGAGTAGACCAATCACAACAGACTGGGTCATCTGACCAGTCAGAGCAGAGTAGACCAATCACAACAGACTGGGTCATCTGACCAATCAGAGCAGAATAGACCAATCACAACAGACTGGGTCATCTGACTAATCAGAGCAGAGTAGACCAATCACAACAGACTGGGTCATCTGACCAATCAGAGCTGAGTAGACCAATCACAACAGACTGGGTCATCTGACTAATCAGAGCAGAGTAGACCAATCACAACAGACTGGGTCATCTGACTAATCAGAGCAGAGTAGACCAATCACAACAGACTGGGTCATCTGACCAGTCAGAGCAGAGTAGACCAATCACAACAGACTGGGTCATCTGACCAATCAGAGCAGGGTAGACCAATCACAACAGACTGGGCCATCTGACCAATCAGAGCAGAATAGACCAATCACAACAGACTGGGTCATCTGACCAATCAGAGCAGAGTAGACCAATCACAACAAACTGAGCCATCTGACCAATCAGAGCAGAGTAGACCAATCACAACAGACTGAATCATCTGACAAATCAGAACAGAGTAGACCAATCACAACAGACTGGGCCATCTGACCAATCAGAGCAGAGTAGATCAATCACAACAGACGGGGACAGCTGACCAATCAGAGTAGAGCAGACTCTGTGAAAGGCGGGGTTTAGAGAGACCAGATTCTTTTTTAAACCCATTCAGACTTTGTTAAAAAAGAGCTGATGCTGTAGTGTATATAATGAGAAAAGTATTTTTTACCTTTTAATTAGGAACCTTTAAAATAGCATAATAGGGGGACATTAAAAATTCTAAAAGTTTTTGTGTGTGAGGCAAAGTTATTTATATATAGGCCTAAACGTTCTCCACACATGACCCTTATATGTACTGTATATGTTATGGGTCATGAAACCCTTCTATGTTGACACTGAACATTCACACTTTCAGTTTAAAAAAAATATTGTCACAGGACAAAATACACTGATAATTTTTATACTGTAAGCATGCCCACCCAGCATGCAAAGTATGTGAAACAAGTTTGGGGGAGAGTTTTTTTAAGTGTCCTGGGAATTTGAATGTGTGTAATGTTGTGTTTTCATGTTTTATGGTGACTTTCCATAGACATAATGATTTTTATACTGTACACACAGTATCTTATATTCCCCTTAACCCTACGACTAAACCAACCGGTACATAACAGGAAACTTACTGCATTTTTACATTTTCTAAAAACATCACATGATTTATAAACAGTTTTCCATGTGGGGACCAAAAAATGTCCCAACAAGGACACAGGAGGACATTGCGTCCCCATAATTTAGGGTTTACCTGAACCACACACACACAGTAACTAGGGTTGGGTATCGAGAATCGACTATCGATTGGAACCGGGACTAACTTTTCGTTTTTCCCGGAATCGTTCAAAAGTTAAAATTTCGATTCCTAGTTTCGATATTCACAGTCCACCGAGCGGAAGAAGAAACCGCTGAACAACACCAACGAAGAAGCGTCTACCGGAAGTGTTGGCATAACCGCGCGAGTCGAACATTAGTAGCTTACGTCAGCTGTCCAAAGTGTGGCTTCACTTTTCTAAAAATAACGAAATCTCGGTGTTATGAACGCCTTGAGCGGTTGGAGGCTCCCATTGACAGAGGAAACAGTTGGCCAGGGTTAACAGTGCTTTTATTGCAGTGCAGGGTGACAGTCACTCAGAATTTGTGGAAAAAACAGAAAAAACAAAAACAAAACTTAGAGGCAACCAAATATATGACTGCACAAACATAAGGTCAAGCAAAAGAGCATAACCTGACCTGTGCAAAAGCACTACATAAGTAGTATTTTCCCAGAGTTACAAACTCACAAGCAGTCCATGGTCTGTCTAGACCTCTCCTTCACCTCCTATCTCTCAACTCCCCTAATAACTTTCTGGAGTCATTTTATAGCCCTGACTCCTCCTACTCTGGAACATACCACCTTAAAGGTAACACATTTCATACACTTACAGGAATGCATAATAATAAAGAAAACAAAAACAATAACAAAAGTAATAAATACAAATAAACAAATATATAATAAATCATATCCACAAGTATATATATAT